CATCAGAGACAATGTGTACAGCTCAGCCACAAAAATCTTTGGTAAGAAACAAAGAACAACGACTGGCTTGACGCCAACTCCGCCATACTCATGCCCGTCATTGAAGAGTGTCGCAGTGACCATCTGGAATACAAGCATTCGCCCAGCTAGAGGACACTACAGGCACACAGGTCTACCAGAAGCAAAGTTCAGAGGCTAGCATAGCAATGGGCAAATGAATACTATCTTCAGATCAGTAAGATCATCCAGTAAATATTGGAAACATCAGTGGCATGTACAGTGACATAAAAAGCAATAGGTCCCACGAAGAAAGTGATGGTATCACTGAAGTATTCTGCTGGCAATACCATCCATGACAAGGGCAAGCAGATGGAACGGTGGGTGGAATACTGCTCTGAACTGTACTCCAAAGAGAAATACGTGACCAATGATGCCCTCAGGTCTATTTAAAACTTCGCTTGTAAGACCAAACTGGATGAGAAACCAATTGTTGATGAACTAAAGATGGCCTTAGAGAAACTGACCCTGGTAAAGCCCCAGGGAATTATGGCATCCCAGCAGAATGTGCGGCGAGCTGTTCTCACACCTGTAAAAACTACTCTGCCAGTGCTGCGATGAAGGTGCAGTGCCTCAGGATATTAGGCCGCCAACATCATAACCATGTACAAGAACAAGGGCGATAAAAGCGACTGCAATAACTACAGAGGCATATTACTTCTTAGCATCATGGGGAAAAGTCTTCGCACGAATCATCCTAAACAGACTGCAGACGCTTGCTGACAGAGTGTATCTAGAGTCTCAGTGTGGGTTCCGCGCAGAGAGGTCCACAATCGACATGATCGATCAGGCAACTGCATGAGAGGTGCAGAGAACAACACAGACCACTCTTCCTGGCTTTTTATAGATCTCACAAAGGCCTTCAATCTAGTTAGCAGAGACGGACTTTTAAAATCCTGACGAATCTTGAATGTCCTCCAAAACTGCTGAGCGTGGCCCAATCCTTCATTGACGACATGAAAGGCATAGTGCAGTATGATGGTTTATCGTCTGATACATTCAACGTCCTCAGTGAAGTGAAACAAGCTTGTGTCCTTGTCCCAACGCTTTTCGGCATCTTCATCGCTGTCCTGCTTAAGTACGCCTTCGGGACGTCCACAGAAGGGATATACCTGCAGACGCGATCATCCAGGCATGACTAATGGCAGAGAGCAAAGTAAGAGACGCAACCATTAGGGTCATGCTCTTTGCAAACGATGCTGATCTAGCCACTCACAAAGAAGCTGAACTACAACCTCTTATGGACAGCTTTGACAATCAGCCAAAACAAAAACCAACGTGACGGCTCAGAACTCAGATCCTCCCATAATCATCATCATCATCATCATCATTATCATCATCATCATCATCATCAATCATCATCATCATCATTATCATCATCATCATCATCATCAATCATCATCATCATCATCATTATCATAATCATCATCATCATCATCAACAGCGTACCTTGGCTCTACAATCACCAAAATTCTCTCACTCGATGCAGAGCTTAAGAAGCGGATTGGAAAGGTGTCAACAACTCTCTCTAGTTTGTCGCAGAGAGTGTGGAACAACATCATGCTGACCCTGAACACTAAGATATCCGTGTATCATGCCTGTGTGCTAAGCACTCTCCTGTACACCAGCGAAACAGGGACCCTGTACGTATCTCAGGAGAAAAGACTGAGCGCCTTTCATATGCGATGCCTCTGACCCATTCTCGGGATCACCTAGAGCTATTGAGTGACAAACAACGAGGTGCTTGACTATGCAAATATTTCCAGAATGTTCATACTCCTCCATTAACGTCTCATCATATACGTCGGATGGATGACGGACGGATACCCAAAAGACCTTCGTTATTCCAAGCTTGCCTCTGGCAGAAGACTGATCAGACGGCCACATATCCGCTTCAAGGATGTCTGCAAGCACGACATGAAAGCCCCTTCGATCAATGTTAACGCCTGGGAAGAGCTTGCTCTAGACAAGTTCAGCTGGCGACATGCTCTGATCACTGGTCTGAGAGCCGGGAAGGAGAAGCTACGACTGCTCGCTGATGAAAAACGACCTCAGAGGAAGAGGAAGCAATTCCAACCCAGACCAGACTTAACCTTCAAGTTGAGGAACTGCAGCAAGGATTACCGCTACCGCGTGGGACTCCATAGTCACAGAAGACGCTGCCCATCAACCAACCTGGGCAGTTATCATGGGCAGATTTCCATCTTCTCTCTCTCGAGACTAACGGATGCCAACACACACATTAAATAGTTATTATAAAATGCCCGAGAACAATTGTACAACACACAGTTATAATATAATAGTTGTTATGTAATACCAACCTTCAACTGGCCAGTTTATCTTTCTTTCATTAAGCAATTAAATAATTTGTGCGATTTGTGTAACAGATTCCTATGATAGAGCACTATTTCACTAAATAAATTATCACTGAATAATATCAAAACTAACTCTTGCTCGTTGCTATGCAAACTGACCTAAAATAACCCCTGAGAAGCCTGTTTATTACCACGAGATGACATCTGATTAGCTACCCAGTAGTCACTGGCAGTGCAGTGTGGACTCTGAGCTTCCTAACATAATCGTCTGTATATCTCTATGTTAGTTATCTAACCGTAACTCCCCTATGTTAGTTACCCACTTTAAAGGCCGTATCTTCCCTATGTTAGTTACGTGTTTTAAAAGCCGTATCTCCTTTATGTTAGTTACCTACTTTAGAAGCCGAGGCCAAGGCATCATCTAGTTAGGTGTGTTCTAATCTGACACTGAAGTTAACATATGCGAAATTCCAGCTCAGATATTCATAAAACTGAAATACTGTTTTGCTTTAGTCCAGGTTGCCGCCACCCTCTTCAACAAACTATCAACCTAATTTTGATTCTATGCGGTGGCTTGCCGCCGCATCCAGTGAAATTTAGAGACTTTAAGCACATACATGATTTAAAATCTGTTTCTTATCTTTGTTTTTATTTTATATTATTTTTAAAATCTGATACCAACATAAAATAATGAAAGAACTATATTTCTATAACTTTCTTCTTACCATAAGTCAGTGTAATAAATTTCAGACATTTATTTAACTTCCTTACTAATTCTTCTATCCTCCATGTATCTATATTAAAACAATTTAAATTCTTATTACTCTTACCTGTCGCATGATGCACTAGAAAATTAATACTGTTGTTAGATATTTTGATAAGCAGCAATTCACCCAAAATACAATTTATTGAAAAAAAGAGTTGAAATTACCATCTAACAAATTTTTTTTAAAGAAAACTGAGTGTCGAGGTCTATACATGACATAACAAGTTAACTGAATTTACCATCATATGCAGCTTAAGGTTTCAAAACCGATTTTTCTGATTATTTGTATTTATTTCTCTTTACATTAAAACAATTTTTTTTTCTTACCCATATTATTGCCCTTAAAGATTCCACTCTTGTTTAAGTTAGGATTGATTCTACACACGTTAAAAAATTGACGTGAAGAATATTAAAGCAAAGTGTAAGGCAGTTTTTAATGCTTTACTATTCGGAAATAGTCCAAACAAAGCTTTAACATTCGGATATAGTCCAAACAATGCTTTCAGGCTTAGATTTCTCATTAAACTTATTTCTGTTCCGTATTGATCTTCAGACACATGAATCACCATAAACACTTCTAAACACATACATGCGTCCCGTGATAGAATTAGAGATTTCAAAGTCATAGAACTAATTGATGTCAAGCTTCAAATGAAAATTAAGCTATCACAGGAGCTTCTGACTGCCCATTCAATTTTTCTTATCTATTATAACTCAGCACAAATAGAGCATATACTTTTTTGTGTCATTGCCTTATGGCAACGCACAGATTATCTCTGCACAAATTATATATATATATATATATATATATATATATATATATATATATATATATATATATATATATATATATATATATTCTACAAATATCAATGCCATTTTTTGCAACTTTTATATGTAGATGCTACATTAGCTTTCTTTTGCATGCGCACAAAAGAAAATAAAGAATAAAAACTAAAGTAAAACAAAATAAAATGTTTGATAGATAACTGCTACACAAACATATTCCCGTAACATTTACTTTTGCCAAAAGATATTATACAAAGCCGTTTAATAGAAAGAAGAATAAAAGATACACTACATCTTATTATAGAACATGCTGTAGAACAACAAAAAAGCAAAGTCATAGAACGTTTCATATTATATAGATTAAAACGTGAATTAAAATCTGAGTTGATTATATATTCCCAAAATGTTTCAATAATTGAAAACAAAACCCCATTGAAAACAAAAACAGTCGAAGGTGAAGGCATTGAGAGAAGGTAAAGGCATTGAGAGAAGGTAAAGGCATTGAGAGAAAACAGGCCGTTTAATTCAAACTGTAGAAGATTGCACTCATTTATTGCTACAGAGAATCTTTTGTAAAGAAGTATTGGTTACTAAACCATTGCACAAGGACAATTTTTATTTTCTTCAGAATTCTTTGCTCCTATTTAATGTTTGAATTTAGGACTCTTTCCTTGAAGATATCAGAAAGTTCTTAATGTTTGTATATTTCAAAATCATCTAATTTATTTGAAAAGAGAGAAAGATAACTGTCTCTAAGTTGTAAATTAAATTATACTTCTAGCATTAATTCATTCATTCGTACCTGGACAGGATCGAGTGTGTGTGTGTGTGTGTGTGTGTGTGTGTGATTTTGAACGTAGCTCTAACAATTTTTTAGTGGTATCGCTACGATGTCTGCAGTGTGATAGTTTATAGCGATGTCTAGCACTGGGGAATCATGCCGCAGACATTCGGCATGATGTCCAACCCAGTCACATTATCTTGACACCACGCCCACCAGTCCTAACATTAACCCCTTAATGCTGAGCGCCAATCGAGGCAGCTGTTACTCCCATTTTTTAAAGACCTTGATATGACTTGGATGGGTTTCGTACCCGCGACTTCCCGCATCTGAGGCAAACGCTATAACCACTAAGCCACCGGAGCGGTCGACCGGATCGAAAGGGTGGTTTCCAAGGTGTCCCGACATACACGACTAAGGGAGAACAAAATAAGTCCACTCAAAACCAATTTTTATTTGAAATGTGACCATATTTTTATTCTTGGGGCCCTTTTATTGGTTATTAATCACATCTTGAGTAAATAGTGACATAGCCTTTTGCTTTGGTGCCCTTTCGAGGAAGGCTAGGGAATTATCGAAGTTTTAACAGAAATAAACCAACACTTGACCTGATTCAGCCTTGAAAACTTCATTATATGCAAGATGTGTATGACTTTTTATCTTAGGTTATCCATATCATATAATCGACAGATGCCCGCGCAATAAATGTCCAAAATGTGACATATATGTTGAGGGATTAGATAAACTATGAAATAAACACCATCTGAGAGAGAGAGAGAGAGAGAGAGAGAGAGAGAGAGAGAGAGAGAGAGAGAGAGAGAGAGAGAGAGAGAGAGAGAGAGAGAGAGAGAGAGAGAGAGAGAGAGAGAGAATGCATTCTTTAAACGCTCTAAATTCACGACAATAATATAGATTAAGTGATCACAAAACTTTGCCTGTGTGTATTGTAAGTATTCACTAAATTGTATAATCACGTTCTTTTAGTTACCGATTAGATCTGACAAACTATATATATATATATATATATATATATATATATATATATATATATATATATATATATATATATATATATAATGAACTATATTAGTAACCATTCATCAGGATTTATATTGCAAGATTCTTCGTGCTTCCTTTTTATGCTCATAATTGCTGAATAAAATTTACATCTGCATCCACAGTTTCTTCGCTGTTGGAATTATAACATTGTTAATGTCCCATGTGTATATCATATACAACAGGGCCTGTCTGTTTTTATATTTTTTTTCGAATCGTTTGGCTCTTACATTAAATTTGTTTGGATGTGTGCATAAATTATTCACAGTACGTGTTTTCAGCAACTGGCATACACTTTCGATACCCTTATATTAAATAGACGACACCGTTCATTCCACTAAAAATAGGCCAATCTAACAGGTCATTACAGCTTTCTTTGCTACTTGCATTTTATAATACAAACAAAATGAACACGAAAATCTCCCGTTCATACTGGTTGGAACGATTTTCATATCAGGCATGTGTTGAATCATATTGTCAATAAAACACGATTTTAAACATGACTTGCTGACAGAAACATCTAATGCTTCATTAAAGATTGATGTAAGATTGTTTATTTTTCTCTCGTCATTTATCTTTCACTTACTTTTTTTAATACACAACGTCATTTTAATAAAGTCTAATTTGTAATATCCCCCTTGAACTACAATGATTGATTATTAGCTTCATATAGACCCTGCGCATAATGGATATAGATCATGAACGTTTCGAACTTTGTTCAAACATGGAGTTTCTTTCTTGTCTGCGGTCTCACGACAGTCTTGTTGTTTATATACAAAGTCAGAATACTATCATTGTCTCGCGGTTCAGCTTGGTATATGAAAATTTCACAGATGGTCAGGGTATACATTAGTACAATAATTATTAGTTTATTATATTATTATTTCTTTTGGTGAATGAAAACTATCGAAGATTTACCGTATTTGGATTTAGATGCAATAAAGTAATTTAAGAAAATGAATATTATATTTACAGTGTAAAGAAACTTTCTGTATGATTTAGCTTAAATAAAACCCATTAAATAAAGTAAATAAATAATTAAATTAACACATAAATAAATTAAAGTATTGATATGTGAGGACAACACTCACCTGACCATATAACTGAGTTTAAAATAACAAATTATATACACTATTTTTCTTGTAAAAATAAACTAGAAATAACTAGAAGTCATATAATTTAGAAGAGAAAGGAATTAAAAATACAACATAAATAAATACTGCTTTGTGCTTAAATAAACTTTAAACAAAAATGTACTGTCCAAAATATTTCCTAAGGTTACGTAACTATAAAATAAACTAAACAAAACAAAATAAAAAGAAAATAGAAAATAACTAAAACTCAAAATAACTGGATGTACCTAATTTGATTGCTGCTAGCTGACTGAACCACCACAAGCAACCATCAAAGTCTTTTATACACTAGACAAAACCCACAAAACCCATAGTTTTAATAAAACCCACAAAACGCAATATTCAAACAAAAATGAGCTAAAATTGCATGTGTTTATTTAGTTAATTTTCAAGATGATTTTATATAGATATTACCAAATCGATATTTTACACATTACTACCTTACGACTGTATTGGCCCAGGCATAACATTTTTTAGTTGTTTTTATGTTGCTTTTTTTTGTATTTCGTGTCACAAACCGCGTTATGCTGTCGCTCATAGCAATGGTTAGCAAAGTGTAATGCACTGTTACAATAATACCAAGGCAAACCGCATGACTGGTAACTCAACATGTATATGTACCAAAGAAATAAAGAAGAGAGAATAACAAAGTTTTATATTTTCATTAAGTTTTTAAACAGCACAACAATGCCAACCATGTGTAAAATCTAAAGCTTTATCATTGCTCGAATTATTTCAATTTTGAAAAAGTGGAAGTAATGAAATATAAGAAATACAGTGTGACCATTCTTTAAATATTTCCTAAAGAAATATCATCAGTGTTGAGAATATGTTTATTTCACTGAAGTATTAGGCTCGATTTTGGTCCGCACATTAGCGATAAATTGGTAAAATTGGTTTTGAAATTACTTGATATGTTTATGCCACATTCACTCTTTGTCTGCTCCAACGTAGGTACACAATATATTTTTTAATAGTGTGAAATTAACACTTTAATTCTTCTTGATTTCTTTATCTTACGTCCTCAAAAAAGGAGCGCAGCCAAGAACACGTTTGATTTTTTTGGACAGTAAACGATCTAACAAATATCAAATTTTTATATATTTTCTCGTTGGCATTATTATTATATCCAACACTGACCACATCCATACATTAGAATTATAAAATCTGCATTGAGTCTAGAAAATATGCAATATTCGATAAAATCATGATTAATTTAATTCGATTTCATAAATTATTTTAACAAATAACTTCAAATTATCACCAATAGACTAGATTTATAGGCCTATTCAGTAGGCTACTAGCACGGTATAAAACGGACTTATTGCCTTATAGACTAGACTATTCGGTCTTCTCTTGAGATTACTAGTACACTATAACACGGATTTATTGCTTATTAGACTAGATTGATGTGCCTTTTTTATAGACTCCTGCTACAGAATAACACAGACTTATTGCATATATATATATATATATATATATATATATATATATATATATATATATATATATATATATATATATATATATATATATATATATATATATATATGGGCCTTCTCTATAGATTACTTGTACAGTATAACACAGACTTATTGCCTATAGACTATATCTATGGGCCTTCTCTATAGATTGACTGATATTCTTTTATTCGTTCATTTTCTGAAGATTTTAAGATAATGTATACAAATGCAATGTAATATATTAAATCACAAAAATGTTGATTCTTTACTTTAAAAGTCTTCTGAATTATTTGTAATAGCAAACTAATATATATATGAATATATAACAAAGACTTATTGCCTATATATATATATATATATATATATATATATATATATATATATATATATATATATATATATATATATATATATATATATATGAACCTTCTCTATAGACTACTTGTACCGTATAACACAGACTTATTGCCTATAGACTTGACTAGATTTATAGACTTTCTCTGTAGACTACTGGTATAGTATAGCAAGGGTTTATTGCCTATAGAATAGACTAGATATCTGTAGATTACTGGTGCACCATAACACGGACTTATTGCCTCTACACTAGATTTATGGGCCTTCCTCTGTAGACTACTGATAACACGGACTGTCGTTACGATGTCTACATAATTAGTTTCTTTATTACTATTATTTTTCATTCTTTTTCATGTAATAATAAAATTTTGCAGCATTGTAGTTTCATAGTTAAGGCTTTCATCGCTATGGCCATGTGATTTGGTGAATTGATGTATTGTTGCTTGAACATTGTTGTTTAACAACATGATATAACATTCTATAACCTTCTGAAGACATTCAAATTCAATTAAACAGTCAAAAATGAAGCATATATCACCTCTACAATTATATGTGCGTCAAAACCTACAATTAAACACGAACAAATAACTTAGCAAGCTATGATACCCTCATTCCGCATAAAAAAGGTTTTAAAATTAATAAAAGTTGTTTTTATAATGAAGTGTTTTTATAGACTATACCCAAGAGAAATGCATTAAAGTGTGACTACTACATTTAACAAGTCTGCTTGTTGTCCAGAACATTTAATCCTAAAAGTATAGTCTCCTCTATTCGAATTTTTGTAACAATTGTTACAGATTATTCTTGTATATCTTTTATTGGATGATTTTTTGGGCTATTCTAAAGAGTTACAAATCCGGAAGGAATGCATGCTGTTCCTGAATGATGATGTCGTGTCCTAACAACATCTATAGTCTTTAGAATGAATATCTCATACAAATTTGAGGTTATATCAGACAAATGGATCTTAGATAGGTATCTCAACAGGAGCATTTATTGGTATTTCAGTAACTTTGCGATAATGGCATCGGCCATTTTTCTCAATAACATACCGATCTAAGATATTTTGTTTAGTACTTTTTTTAACCATATTAGATTTAACAAAACCAGATATATTCGAGTAGATTTAAACATGTGAAACCTATATTTTCTACCTGTCAGTCACATTTAGCAATTTTTATTTTCCGTCTACTTACCTTTGGTGACTTTTAATACCATTCCACCATGGTGTGTGTGTGTGTGTGTGTGTGCGTGCGTGGGCGTGTATATATGTGTGAAGTGGGATGGAGAATTTGCACTAACTATAATAAACTTTTAGTTAACGTTTGAAATTTTGAACAAGAATATAATAACTGTACTTAAG